ATGAAGTTCCACCGACTGTCGAGGACGAGTCCTAGGTACTTCATCGTCGTCTCGACGCCGATGGTAACTCCTCCCGCCGTTATTTGGGACCCACCCGGAGGTGGCGCGTTCCCGCGGCCATGACAACACATGGCCTCGGACTTGTGGAGCGCCACCTCGAGTCCCAACTGCCGGATTCTCTCAACAACTGTCGCAACCGCTGTCGCCATTAAGTCGGCCGCCGCCTGGTGCGACCTCCCGTGCGCTAGCACCAGCGTGTCGTCGGCGTAGCATATTGTGCTAACGCCGTTCGGGAGGTTGGTGCGCAGCACCCAGTCATAACCGATGTTCCACAGGAGCGGCCCCAGGACCGAACCCTGTGGATCACCGCGTGACATATCTCGCCGGTTCCACTCGCCCCTGTGACCGGGGTAGCTGACGGACCTGTCCGTCAGGTAGGCCTCGATTACACGACGGAGGTAGGTAGGCACCCGATGATATCGGAGTGCCTCCAAGATGCAGCTCCTGGGCAGGGAGTTGAAGGCGTTGGCGATGTCCAGAGACACCGCCACTACGACCTTACCTCTGGACACTGCAGTCCCCGTCGTGAGGTCCCTAACGCGCATGATGGCGTCCACCGTGGAGCGCCCTCTGCGGAAGCCGAACTGGCCGTCTGACAGGTCCGGCCCAATGTCCGTCAGGTGCGAGACGAGGCGGTTCGAAATTATTCTTTCGAAGACTTTCCTCACCTCGTCGCGCAGCACTATGGGCCGGTATGCGGACGGAGAGTCCGCAGGGCGCCCCGTCTTCCGCACGAGGTTGAATACAGTTAGGATCGCATCAGCCACAGATTTACACGCTTCTATTATCATTTTATTTGAGACCTTGTCTTCACCAGATGATTTATTCAAAGACTAAGTTTTAAAGTTCTCCCACCAGGAGTCAATGGCAAAAAAAAATTCTTTATTAGATGTTTAGACAGTTACCACTAATCGACCCACCATGGGCACCACAGCTGGCGCTCATGAAGCTTCATGACACAACTATAATAGAAGCATCCCACAAATTATCGACAGAGAAAATGGCGCGAAATTTGAAGTTAGGAATTGTGACGAAAATATTAATAATTTGAATAATAAAACCCAAAGTAAAATATTTGACTCCAGCTCCTTTCAACGCTCAGACTGAGATTTCCATATATGAGCGCATAGACAATTTCGTTTGTAATGTCATTCTAGTTAATATTTTCCATAAATCATCGACTGCCGCCAGAAAAAAGGCACCAATTTTAGTCAATGCCCTGAAATGATTTTCAACGGGTTAAAACCTTGATAGTTACATAACATTAAATGTAGTGTCCGACCGAAATTTCGGTTTCGGTTTTGGCCGAGTTTCGGCGACAGTTTCGGTTTCGGCCAAAATCGGCCGAAACTTTTGCCGAAACCGAAACTTATGTTGCAAGTTCACACACGTTCATGCTCGCATAACTCTGTTTCCCGTGGCACTGTACGATTGTCATTATTTGACAAATAAAATGTCACCGCCAACCTGTATAAAACTTTTTACTCAGGCCATACAAGAAAAAAAAAACTTTTTAGCTTAGTCGTATAATTACTAATTGTCTATGAAAGGAGTCTTATATCGTGTCTATGGTTTTTAGATTAATGTTGATTTAAAAATCAGAATAATTATTTTCTCTATTAATATGTGTATTAAACCACGGGCTTATGAAAATAGTAATAAAACTAAGTAATTTTAGTAATAATTATTTTTATATAAGAGGTACCTACCTAAAAGAGACTAATGATTTTTCTAAGTACAAATATAATCCAAAGTATTAAAGAGAAAGATCTTAAAATATCAATACTTAGTATTTAATGAAACAGTAACAATTACCGATTTGATTAGTGTTAACTGATAAACATTATGCTATGAGAACTTAATTTGAAAAAATAATAAAAATGTTATTAATATATTTTTTTAATTCTTACATTAAATAAATGATTACAACAAACTTGATACACTGTGTTTCCATTTCATGCCCTAATTAATGCAAAATAATAGGTAAAATGCACCAAATTTCAGTATCTTAAGAAATTTTATACTTGACTACGTAAGTTTCGGTTTCGGTTTCGGCCGAAACTGAAGCCACGGCCGAACATTCGGTTTCGGTTTCGGCCGGAAAACCAGTTTCGGTCGGACACTAATCAAATGTTTACAATTTCACTATCGATTATACCTGTAACCATTACTTATGATATATTTTATTATGGGTATAGGCGAGTGTGGGTTATTTGTATATGTAGTAAAATGCAATAATTTTGTATATTTTTTTTATTTTATTAATCTAGTCACATTACTTCACTTCCTTAACCTGGAGACCTGCAACAAACAAATTTGTGTATTCAACAAAACAACAGCATACTAGACTGCTTTACTTTCCTGTGTACATATTTATATTATAAAATAGTTTGAGGATGCAAGTTTAGGGAGAAATTATGTTAAGTTAGCTTTAAGGTTGCATTCTGGGCATTATCCATCAACAAAATTTGCTTTTCTTATGCAGAAAATTGCATCATCTAATCGCAAATTATGCAATAAAGTAAAAGACATGCAACATTTGCTGATGGAATGTGCTAGGAACATTAATGAAAGGGAAACATTATGTAGAAAATATAAGTTGAATAAATAAGATGTTAGACTAGTTCAAAACATTTTAGCATATCCTAAATAAAATGAAGATTGCAAAAGGGTCATGTGAACTGGTAAGGGTGACATAAATTTTCCACAATCTAGACCTTGATAATGATTCCCTTTCATGTACATAGAGTATATATACTCATATGTTATTAAATTTGATAAGGTATGATGGGATTGACATATCCATATGGACAAAAACCCTTTACAAACAATAAAGGAGAAAAAAATGTAAAATATTAAATTATAATGAAAAGAGGTAATATTTTCTTGTTTGATGTATAACCCCGGTGCCTTCACATACATATGTACCCTAATCTAACTGGGAAAAAGCTTGGAAGTCATTTTGGGCTGAGCAATTTGTTATGGAATCTTTACAAGACATGAATATAAGTGTTGTCTGAGTTTGTAGCATTCCTGTCAGGTACTGAACACCGTTGAATATTAGCTATTATATATTACTAAAATTAAATTCCCAATATTTTGAAAAGTAATTAATAGATCATATTAAATAAGTGGGTTTGGGAATAATGTAGATATCTCTTTGCTGAACTAAATTCCATAAATAAAAAAAGTTTGGTGTAAAAATTGCTAGTAAATCACTTTTTTTAATTGTAACTCAGGGAAAATTTTCAGTGCCATGTTTCTATTATACAATGTATTATAATAATATTATTATAAGCATACTGTATTTGTAGTTTGTACCTAATAAAAATAAGAAGTATCTAACTAGAAGTTTGAGTAAATGTATTTATTTAACATAATGAAGAAACACAACAACATTTGTATACCTCAAAAAAAATTATGTTATTGTCAATAATTTCTTTTTAGAGTTTAAATTATAATTTTATATTTAGTATCATATTTGAAGTTATGTAAACTAGCCAATTTTAATAATAAATTCTCTTTTATATTAGCCTACAATTGAAGCTTGTGTGAAAGTAATTGGTGCGGAGAGTAAACAACGATTTTGTATTTTTTTCAATGTTTCCCCACACTTACATTGTCTACTGCGTCGTCGACAAATTGTTGTTTCGGCTCTGGGTGTCATGTGTATATGAGATTGTATGTCTGTAAACATACCCATTACACAGAAGAAAAGTGGGGCAACACATAAAAATATGGCTGGCACTCTGACAAAGTTATCCGTCAAATAAAGAAAGACTCAATGCGACAGATTGAATATAGTGCAAGATAAGTACCTGGTGGTAAGCTCTGCTTCAGTTTCTCTGCCTTCTCTTTGTCTGTGATAACCAGTGTGTACAGAAACCGTGAGCACCGCACCTTGAACTTGACATTCTCTGGGTTTTTCTTTATCTTGACAGCTGTAACATAAGCACAATAAAAAAGATTATTTAAAATTGTTACTAAATTATCACAAATACCAAACTCCTATGCAGTTTACATAATACCTTTACAAACTAATATAATTATTTTGCTCTCCACTAACTACAATATAGACCTTATTTCAATCAATGTTTAGAGACTACTTTTGGATGAACAAATCTAGTTTTAAATAAATCTAATAATTTTAATAGCTCTATGTTTTATGTTGTTATCTAATAAATTTATATTAAAATCGCAACATACAAGTACAGATTTATTGCCAGAACAAACCTTCCTCAGAACATCCTCCATGACAGAATCAAAGAATGCAAGATTCTGGTAAGTAGATGGTCTGTATACACAAACTACAACAGGCTTACCTAGCTGCACAGGACAACTATTCCTATTTTTAAATTTAATACTGTTATTGAACTAACCATTTATTTAAGACATCAAAGCTCCACTTTGTTAGTAACAATATCAAAAATATGATATATCTTTGATATTATAAATATGTTAGTAAGTGTTATTACCTAGTATTAAAGATCCCCTGAGTAACGTCTTTCTACTAAAATTACTAATTACATTGTCATTCGAAGTTCAAAGATATTAATTGGTCCTCATCCAATGTTCTATCTAAAAATTATGTAGTCAGTCAGTTTTCCAAAAACATTTCTACTTCAAGCAATTGACAGGGGCAGCCCTGAGTAGTGGAATGAATGGAAATAATTTTAGATGGTGCTGCCCTTCAACATTCAATGGGAATTGGTCGTAGCATGTTGTACAGCCTAGTCCTTCAATAAAGACTATCCAACGCTAAAAGAATAATATATCACATGAAACCAGTAGTTCCTGAGATTACTCTTCGGCTCTATATAACAGTATACAAAACAAACTGAATCACTCACATTTAGCATCTTTCCTGCGTGCCTTCAGAAGGAAGTCCTTGATGTCTTTAATTTCACGTGGCTGTAACAAAAACAACACAAAATCAATTTAAGAGCTACCAGTGCTACTGCTACTCAAGCTGGTTTACCGAGATGAACCAGCTGGTGTTAGACAAATTATTATGTCCATACATTGTCAAACACCAAGCGGTCACCGGACCTATTGTTCTATAATTGTGTCTACAAAACCGGTACTCGATGAGTTAAGGTCACACTTAACTATGTTTCTACCATGTCTTTATCAAGTACTCTAAATATTTGATATTCATTCAAACAGACATTCATTCATTATGCAATTGAACATTTTATTTTCTATTTCCTAAGAATATTTTATATTAAACTATATTGTAGGTATTAAAGGAGACCAGCAAACTTCCAAAGTAAATCAAGACCCCACTAATAAATTTCGTATTCTTTCTTCAAAATCCCAGATAAATAAATTCAATATACTCGAAGTTATACCTCATTTTAAAATCACTAAACCTCAAATCAGTCATAAGAATAGGAACAAATGTTAAGAGGGTCTCTTGACTACTAACTGAAATATTTGGTTGAATATGGTCTTTGAAACCCACAGTATTTCATTTTCGTCTGCCATGGCTAGCATTTGCCAGTTTACTTTCAAGAATTTATATATAAACATATTTCATTTACTTCCAGGAACATGATCAAACACATTTAGTTTTCATGACAAATGACAAAGTGAATGCAAGTTTTGAAGGATATTTTTTATATACAACGGCTTGTCAGCTTAAAATAAAGCTGTGAAACCAGATGACAAGATACCTTCGTTTCATAATAGTTAACATCATGAGATACGCTTGTTTATATTATAAATTAACATCATTTGTTATGAGCCTCGTGAGGAAGACATTCAATGATGAACAGAGGCGGTCAAAGGCTTCCCGGTGGGAAGATCAATGGGTCATCCTTCACTGGCTAGTCCTCTACTACAGAATGGATGCGATTACCAATTTATTAAACATTTACATTAGTCTATCATTAATACGCTATGACGGATATTCTGCGATATGCTATGTAAATAATAAATAAATAAGTAGGATAGACGTTTTTTCATATAACTCACTGTTTACTTACCATGATGAAGACAACGTTCCTTGTAGAACTGAAAAATGATATAAAAGTAATAAATAACGTAAAATATCACTTGTAAGTAATGTAAAACTAACGTATGTGTCCTAGTAATTCAAAAGTATTTAGAAAATCTAACTACTTAAGATGATTAATTCGGATTTTACTTATATTTCCCAAAAGTACAAACTCAACTTACCTGTCAAACAACTAAAAGAACAAACTTATGACGGAACTTCGACTTTGACTTTTGAACAGACGTCAGATTTGACAGTGAATATTGACATTGACAATTTATTAGGTACTGACAGTGATAGTCATGAACCCATGAACCTGTGAATATTCCGGCTAAAAATGTTTTATACAAATGTGTAGAGAAAATACCATGGAATTATGAATCGAAAAGATAAACTATACTCTGTTCTCGTCTACATCAATTGGCGTAATATAGAAAGAGATACATAGATTTTAGTAGTTACTTGAAATCAGTGCTTGACACAGACATACAAGAAGAAGCAGACAAAGCTTAAGCTTTTTAAACTTTTGCTATCAGAGAGTTACTGTAGTATTAAGGACTATTTATAAGATAAGTCGAAAGAATCTAGTTAGTGTAATTTTAATAATGAATTTGCACGCGATTTATAGCAGGATACGCATACGCAACGTATTTAAGCAAATAAACATTTTTGATTTAATCTTCAAAAAGATCAAATCATAAATGCATTAGCTAAAATTTGTGAAGCAAGAAAACACATTTATTTATTACTTTTATTTATTTATTAGGTTAACCTATAGTTATTTACACTCATACATTCATTATTTCATTACATAACATCACGCCTTTTATCCCCGAAGAGGTAGGCAGAGGTGCACGCAGAAGTAACACCCACTTTTCACAATTTATGTTATGAGTCCCATGTAATTATATCATTACAAATAATAATTTGGTAAGTGTAACAAAGTAACAACTACTTCCTGGCTAACACAGCATGCACATAAAACGGTTAGAATATGTTACATAAAAAAATATAACATTCGAACAAGATCAAGCAACATAATATAAAAGTTGCGATCAGTTAATTAAATAAAATATGGAATTAACTTAAATTAAATTAGAAATTCAATAGAGTTGAACTATATACTATGTGTAGGAGTCATAGAGAGCCGAAACAGATTCGTGTCTGAAATCGAGACCTCTTTAGGGAGAATCTCTGATTGGGGTGGACTTAATTTGGTCCAGTTTAACCCCACTATGACACAGGTCCGCGTGTTTACCACTAGGAAACTGTCGTTAGTCGTCTCTCCTCAGTTTCAAAGCACCCCCCTAAGTGCCTCAGCCGGAATTGGAATACTTGGTGTCCGCATTTCGAGCGACGTCCAGTTTTGCGGTCATCTAGAGGATAAGGCCAAATTGGCCTCGAGGAAGCTTGGTGTGCTCAATAGATTGAGGCAGTATTTCACCCTGGCCCACAGCCTGCTTCTATATAAGGCACAGGTGCGGCCCCACATGGCATCTTTTCACCATCGACCCTCACGACAGCATATGCATCCCCATCATATAGATGGTTGGCAGGCCACAAATGTGCGCTTCTCACGTAGCTTCCTGCCTCGCACAGCAAAACTGTGGAATGTTCTGTCGTCGGCGGTATTTCCGAACCGATACAACCTTCAAACCTTCAAGAAAAGAGCGTATTCCTTTTTAAAAGGCCGGCAACGCACCTGTGACTCCTCTGGTGTCCATGGGCGGCACTGATTGCTTACCATCAGGTGATCCGTCTGCTCGTTTGCCTCCTATTCTATAAAAAAGGAGTACAACCAAGATAATCGTACCTAACGTAATTAGGCACCTGTTGACTAAAACAATTGAACACTTCATAAAGAATACTTGTGATAATTTTTGTTGTAATAAAATTATTAATTTAAAGTTGTAAAACACTATGTATGTGTTTACCATTCACGGCAAGACAGGTTCCCGGTCATTTGGGAGGCATACGAGCAGCCGAAGACAACTGCGCAGAGGCCCTAGAAAACTTTAATTCAAATGTGATGGACACACAAACCGGTGACTATACCTGTATGCACTATGGAAATGCACCCAAGGGTAGTCCCCAGTTAGTGTACAGTTATTGTGAATAATTGAAAAAAGAAAGGTAGGGATAGAATGGGTTGCTGTGGACTGGTAAATTGGGAACTATGGATGACTATAACACCTGCGTAAATAATGTAAGTATTCCACGTAAAAATGGCAGACGGAGACTCGCCAACTCACCGACCGGGCCCCGGGAATGGTTGCTAGATATAGCTACAGAGGGACAACGGAAATGTGAGAGGCTGAAGGGTTAAGCAACTATCACCGCTTTCTACCCAGGTCATCTGCTCCAGCCGATGCCTCCTGCATCGCTGGCCCACCCGCGAATTAGGAATAGTTTCTTACTCTTCGAGCAGGATTACTGTTTTCGCGACTCCGGACTCTGGACGACCAAAAAAAGTAAGCCAGAGGTGGGAGACCTGTTCCTCGTCATTTACTCCAGCCAGCCAATTAAGGCAAGCCTGAGAATAAGAAACGGTGACTTCTCCCTGGAGCACTCGGGACGATGGTAGCCTCACGGTGCCTTGCGGGTCTAGTATTATTATTATTTTAAGCGGAGCAAAATATAGTAATTAATTTATGAAAATTCCCAAGGCTGTCGTGGTGTATATCAATCGCGTCACTGCCACTGTTTATGATTTTCACTAATCTGGTAATGGTTGAGGTTGCACCAAAAATTGTTATGCGTAGTGGAGGACAAAGGAGTGATATGTGTGTATCACGTGGGAATCTAGAAGGCGCACGGAATCCAAATAAGCCAAGCACTATTGGGCAATTAGTCTTATTGCATATTAATTTATACACAAAAATAGTATCTGTAACTTTCACTTTGGTTGATAGCGGGTATTGTATGAGGGAAGGCATTTAGCTGCCACACCAATGACCACTCCTTAGACAAATTCGAGAGAGAAGTGTCAGACTCTTCCTAACTAAAAACCACCCCGTTCCTACTCCTGCACTTCGAGCTGGAACCCCGGCAACCCGTTAAGTCTTCCCTGTTGGGCCCCATCCGTGGTGGTCTGATGGCTCTTTGAGGCGCGCGCGGAACGCGACGCACCGTACGCTCGGGCCTGGGTCTGGTCGGGCGGCGAGTCACCCGTGCTCGCCGTCCGCAGGCCCATGCTTACGGTGGCCGGAGATCGCCTCCCGGGCGGGAGAAGTCATTGAATGATTTTCCCCCCTCAAAAAAGGTTTTTTCTTAGAGCTTTTTGTCACTTCGATATATAGTGCATTCCACCATTTTATTTTAAATTTTTTATACGTCTAATGGTTATTTTCTTATAAAACGAGATTGATATGGAGTTTCTTGCTCGTTCTTCTCCATAGGAATCTACGCCTTGGAATGAGCAACTAGCTTCACTTATAAATTTTTGTTGTTTGACGTTCAAAAGTGCTATCCTGGTCTAATTGAAATAAATGATTTTGACTTTGACTTTGATACAGTTGTACGTATAAGCTTATCAAAACGGCGGCACGGAAAAACTGGCTTCATATCAAAATTTGTCTATGAATGGAGAAGTGTGGCTACAGGTAAAAGAACGAGACGATATTATTAGGTTGGCGCTTGACAGAACAAGGACAAATAATGATGGATATCATTTATATGTATCGGTCGTATACTAGGAATTAATGTTTGGTCTGCTATGTATTGTAAATCTGTGGCGCTTGAAATTGCAACATTATGAGAATTACCTAAAAATTGTGGGTTACTCATATAAATATAGTTACAGACTAAGTAGGCTGTGCAACATCGCCACGACCGCGCACACTGCTCATGAGGAAGAATCCCTCTGTGGTTCGAAACTAGTAGAGTTTTTCTCAGTATATTCACGTTAGAAACCCGCGACTTTTAGTTAATTTAGTATGTCTCACGATAGTTATTATAAAATTATGAGAAATAGCCACGTAAATTTCGCCACTGTGCCTGGTCGGTTAGACTCGTTCGTCGGCGACTACGTAAATGTTGAAGTTGTGCGCCTGTATTCGAGTTACCACGTTACCTAATGAAAATGACTGATGCCGTTGTCTGTCCAGTGTAACTCTATAGGAGCCAAGTGCCACAGTGGTTATTTCAAGAGACTGTGACCGCCTTTTTTTCAACGTCCTTGGTCTTTAATATAATTATGTATATTATGTAATATAATTTTTTTAAATATTTTTTTTCAGTTTAGGTAACCAACAGATATATTATAAAGAATAACCATTTACAATAGGTAGGCTATATAAAGCCAAACATTTAATAATAATAATATTCATTATTTTAAATGCAATGTACCTACCTAACTTATGGAACAATTCTTCATGATGGAGTTATACAAATCTTTAATTGTGATAATGCCTTATTGGCCCTAATAATCAAGATTTTTGAAGAACGCCTGACCATGGCTGACCCGGTTGGTTGGATACTCTAAGTTACATCCGTTTGATCGCCACAGAGCTATGTACGATACGCCATGACATTCAATTTCGTCTCTGACTTTAGTTTATGGTATATTTATAGACCCAGAGCCTTGGGAGTAATAAATTTTTATACTGTGCACATGATATTTCATGTCTTTTCTGTGGTTCTTCTATCTGTCTGTGTCTGTCTGTCTGTCGTCTGACGAAAGAAAACGAAATGAACGACAGGCTCCCTTCAGTTGTTGTACCTATGTAGCATTGTTTACGAGCAACACGATTGTTTGTCGGGTTCGAACGAAATGTATAAAAGGTCGGGGTTGATGAGCTGCTGGCGTTACCGGGGGAATCAGTTTAGGAACGAGTGCGGCCACTAGCCGGGGATATGTCGGACCGTGGGGGAGTGCGGTCCAGTGCTCGGCTCAGCGGTGAGAGTACAGCGGCCATAGCAGCCTCCGCTGCAGCCCGTACTACTCCACAGGGCCGCGGCCGGCCGGTGTCCACGACGGCGGCGGCCGCTCAGCGACGCGCGCGTGCTGCTGAGCGCGCCGCGGAGGTTGAGGACAGCCCACGGGTGCTTCGAGATAAGTGTCGCCGTCTCGCACGGGCTCTCCGGAATGCTAAACACTTAGTGGTGAGCAGGCATTGAAGTAATTGACTAGTGTTAGATTTTACAGTTAATTTGGTACAGCCAAATACTTACGTTTGATCGTGTATCTTTAGGCCACTCCTAAATGTAATCCCAAGATCGGGTTGTGAAACTGGTAGTGTGTGAATTTCTGTCACAAATTAAAAATGTTACTAGTTGGTGGTAACTGCTCAAATACACTTCTGGACACATCTATTGGCCCACCTTAGAGTTTAGGTTTCGATGGCCCCTACCGAAATATAATTGCTAGATTGAACAAAAACTGTTGATGCAGTTTTAAACCTGATACATTTTACCATCTTTTTCGATCGTATTGTTTTAAATTTGAATTCAGAATATCATACGACATGGAGCTACGCCTAAAAATCGGATATGCGCCTTGTTAAAGGCAATTGATTTTTGAATAAAAAAACATTTTTTATCAAATAAAGGTTTAATTTAATAACGCGTGTTGCCTCCATGGGCATCTACCACAGCTCTCATATGATTAGGCATTATGAGTTTATCAACCACTCTATAAAATTTTGAGGGATCATCACCCATTCTTATTCTATAGCAGTTTTCAACTCCTGCATCGTCTGAGCAACTGGCTGATGAGCCCTAACACATCTTTTTAGCTCGTCCCACATGTGCTCAATGGGGTTCATGTCTGGGCTTCTGGCTGGCCAGTCCATAACTGTGATGTTTACATCCTGAAAATATTCCCTGACGATGCTGGCGGCATGGGCTCTTGCATTATAATGCATAAAAAGGAAATTGGGGCCCACATAGTCCGCATATGGTATCATGTGAGGTTCTAAGAACTCAAGAATGTACCTTTTAGCATTTAATGTTGGCCGCCATGGTCCTGTAACAACCTCCCCAGATAGTCCATGAGCCACCGCCATAAGTAACCCTCTCTTCAAAGCAGCATTGTTCGAAACGCTTTCCCTTATGTCGGTAGGCCTTCTTCCTTCCATCATTGCCATGTAACATTGTGCGAAATGGAGGTGCGCTGTTCGGTGGACTCGCATTAGTTTGGGCCCATTATCTGGCTTGTATGGTACCATATCGTACGTTCTTTTAACCTTCTCCGAACGTTGAATCAATCCTTTCAGTTGTGACCCGAGATCGTGGCCCTGCTTGGCGACGAACAAAGCCGCTAGTCTAGGTACCTCCGATAAACATTGCGGATTGCAGATCGATTTAAATTAAGTTAAGCACTCACATTTCTTTGGCTATGTCCGCCCTAAATAAGTGGCACAGCTTGGGCGGCGACTTCAGGTGAAGTATCCATAAATTATAGTAATGTTTGTTGCAAAAGCAAAGATATCAATGACTTTTTCAGGAATTAAATCCATGTAAACCAATAAAACCAAGTTTTCTTAGTACATTCGATTGTTTGATATCAACAAACAGGCTCCAAATTGTCTTTTGTTTCTTTAAATTCTGTGTTCGAAATTCAAAAAAGACTATTGAATGAAATTGGGATGTGCCAGGTTCAAACATGCATAAAAACTCTTTGCTCAATTTAATATAAAATTTCAGCTAGGACCAAACGAAACTGAAAATATAAGGTGGGCCAATAGATGTGTCCAGAAGTGTATATCTCAGATGAAAGAAGAAGAAAGAAAGAAAAACCATTTATTTCATCTGTTCCCTTCTTGACTATTGTTATGGTCATTAATATTTTAATATCTAAAAATGGCCACCTAAACAATTTGTAATGTTGTTTAATGTAAAGTTTCACATGGTGTGTGATCCTCCGTGTAAATTTACCATTATATAGCAAATACTGTAAGTCATAAATATCATTTATAGTTGTAAATATTATTTCAGAAGAAGTTTGCAATGTGACTTCAAATGGCTTGGACTTCAAATATTTTAATGTTACTACATTGATTTCCTAGTCAAGATAAAAACAGAAATTTACTTTATTATTCTGTACTTATGTGGTTACTGTATAATAAAGCCAAAGCTTCAGGCTTACACTGAGTGGGTGACCCTTTTAGCATAGACATGTTGTCAGCGTCTCTTTTCTAATTCTTCTGTTTAAATTTTTCAACTCGTTATATTTTTATTACTTCCACTGTCACATCTTGATTGTCTTTTTTTTTATTTATGCTGCATCGTGCCTGGTGCTAAATAAATGTTTTTTCTTTCTTTCTTTCTAGTTAAACAATATAAGGAAGTCGGCATCTAGTGGAATTATAGTGAATCATACAGCACTATTTTACTTACCTTCACTCCAATTCACTCATACATCACTGTAGTTATTTGCTTCACCAATAATGGTGGAACTTTCCGAACTGCGGGAGTAGGAATAGAATAGGGCGGTTATTAGTCAGTAAGAGTTTGACACTTTCTCTCGCCTCGCCCTAGGCGGACGAAGTGACTGGTTCTCTTTTAATGGGATAAGTATATAAATAATAATAATAAATATGTTAGGTGTATACGGGAGCGGGTATCAGCACGGCCGCCGACATTCCTGACTACCGCGGCCCGCACGGTGTCTGGACGCGGCTGCAGCGCGGCGAGACTGTCGGGTGAGTGAGTGAGTGAGTGAGTGAGTGAGCGCGTGTGTGTGTGGGCGAGGCAGTAGTGGACGCACGGCTCGGTTGCAGGCGGGTGGAGGTGTCGCGCGCGCAGCCCACTTTCACGCACATGGCGCTGACGGCGCTGTGGGCGCGGGGCGCGCTCAAGTTCGTGGTGTCGCAGAACTGCGACGGCCTGCACCTGCGTGCCGGTCTGCCGCGCCGCGCGCTGGCCGAGCTGCACGGCGACATGTTCGCGGAGCTGTGCGCGCCCTGCCGCCGCGTCTACCTGCGCGCCTTCGACACCACGGAGCGCACGGCGCGCCACGCGCACGGCACGCGCCGTCTGTGCCACGCGTGCGGCGCCGAGCTGCGCGACTCCATCGTGCACTTCGGGGAGCGCGGCCGCGCCGCCTGGCCGCTCAACTGGGCCGGCGCGCTGCGCCACGCCGCGCGCGCCGACGTAGTCCTGTGTCTGGGCTCCAGCCTCAAGGTGCTGCGCCGCTACCCGCGTCTGTGGCGCATGCAGAGCGCGCCGCGCGCGCGGCCCGCGCTCTACATCGTCAACCTGCAGTGGACGCCCAAGGACTCGGTGGCGGCGCTGAAGATCAACGCGCGCTGCGACGCGGTGATGCAGCAGGTGGCGCGGCGGCTGCGCCTGCGCGTGCCCCGCTACCGCGCCGCGCTGGACCCCGTGCTGGCGCACGCCGAGCCGCTGGACGAGGCCGAGGCGCACACCACGCGCCGCGTGCCGCTGCAAGTGCCGCGCGAGCCCGAGCCGCGCGCCGACCACTGGGAGCCGTCCTCGCCCTCGGCCTCCGACTCGGACGAGGAGCTGCCGCTGCGCCACTTGGCGGCGCGGCTGCGGGCGGAGGCGGCCGACGCCGTATCACCCACCTCGGCCAAAGGCCCCGCCCCCGTCTCGGCCTCGACACTCGAGGCTGCCCCTCCGCCCTCGTCCGCCACTCCGCCCCCGTCCGCACTCGTCCCTGCCTCTGCCCAGACAGACTGCTTGCACTCCTTTCAGGTGAGTGCTTCCGGCCTTCTGTACTTCAGTGCTCACAACCACAACACAGTTCAATATTGTTGATGTTGCTTGCACCCAATTGTTCAGATTTTTAGTGTCATTTTTGTGTTAACAATAACAGTTTTGTTTCAGGTGAGCATGCACTCCGGCGAGGCTACGATATTACTACGCGCCGAGCACGCCGCGCCCGACCTGGACCTACTACGCCTGCGCCGCTTCCGCATGCCTCGCGTCGCGCCTGCGCACTCCCGTCTGCGCCGTCTGCTCGAGTACGAGCCGCGCATACAGCGCGATGCCGACGACGACAAGCCGGCCGATTCAGAACTCCGGCCGAAGCTGGAGGCGGACGAGGCGCGCGTCAAGGACGAGCCCAAGGAGGAGGCGAGCACGTCGGAGTCGGCGGGCTCGCTGGCGGCCGCCATCATCCGGCGCGCCGTGCTGCTGTGCCGCGCCTCGCTGTACCCGGGGCTGCACACCATCATCGCGCCGCCCGCCGCGCCGCC